GGCAGACACGAAAGCCACAAAACGTGCTTAAGCTTTACTTTAATGATACAGGCATATTACATAAAATCCGCCTGTGAAGTGTAAAGGTAATTTACAAAGGATATGCTTTCGTTGTTTGCAAGGGACGGATAAGATTTTATGAAGTTGAAAAAAAAAATCATACAGGAATAAAGACATGTGGGAGAAAGAAAAAGGGAAAGCATATTGAGAACTCCCCCAATCCAACTGTGAGCTCATGAGGGACGGCCAAGAGATTCAAAACAGCCCCTTTCTGGGACCAGCAGTTAGCGTAATGGCTATGTCGCTGGACTCCCACGTAGTTGACCGCGGTTCGAGTCCTGGACCCAGTGGCTTAAAACTCACGCCGGGTGTGTGTGCATGCATGCCCAAGATCTTGAGAGGAGAATGGAGGAGAAGGGATTGCAGCATGACCATCCCCCTTGGGAGGTGATTTCTCACTTTCTGTCTCTCTGTCTTTCTGTTTGTCTGGCGAGTGCACGCACCCTATAGCAAAAACCTCTCCAAAAAAAACCCCCAAAAACAAAAAACAGCCCTGTTTCCTGATTACTTGTGCTACTTTATTAAAAAAAAAAATCCACAAACACAAAACCAGCCTAACTCATTCTTCCCTCATCGGTTGGTCCTAACCCCAAAATACTGGAAGTCAATCAAGTTTATTTTCATGCTCTATTTTGTTCTTTCATTACTGCGGCTGACTGCTCTTCCATTATCTTTGAATGAAGACTCTACACAGTAGAATCTCATGAAGTGTCTAGCTAGTGCTGATCCAAGGAGAAGAAAAGGAGTTTAATTTCTTGATTTGACTCTATTACTTCCCTCTTGTTATTCCCTTTTCCACGCTCTGTGGAGAAACATCTCCTTGTCACACAAGATGAGTCACTTTTTCAGTTTTAATTCTCTCCCCATAAGTCCTACAAGCTACTAAAATCAACTCACAGTGTCTACAGTAACTTTTGCAAGAAAACAATTATAACCATTTATATACAATCACTAACATATGTGTTGTTCACTGACTCTCAGAGTTGAAAAAAGACACCAAAACCCTTTTTTATCCAGCGGTAGAGTGTCTAAGAATGAAAGCTGGAGCCAAATGAAGTCTAGGATGAATGCTATCAGGAAGTAAGCACTAAAGCCACACCTGCCATACTCTGACACGACACTAACCTCATAGCGTCGGTCAGGCAATACATATTTGTGGGCCTATTTTGCACTGGGCACTGTTTTCAGGTGTTTGGGCTATATCAACAAACAAAAACAAAGACCTTAACTTTTATTCTGAAGAGAAGAGGCAGAAGAATTTGAAAAAGACAATAAACAATAGACATAATGAATTAAATTATATAGTAAAAATTATATAGTAAGAAGATAGGAATTACAGAAAAAGAAAACAAAAAGTAAACCAGAGCCAGTGATTGAGAGGGGTGGGGAGAAAGGTTACAATTTTAAGTAAAGTGGTCAGGATAGGCTTCAATTATAAGTGCAAAGACTTGAAAATGTGGCCGGAAGCAGCCATTTAGGAACTGCAAGGTATCTTAATAAGCTACTTTTCCTCCTGCTAACTTGGTTTTTCCATTTTTAGAACTGAAATAATAATTCTCTCCAATATTTACATCAAGATGGTGACTATTACTTTACATAACATTTTAGTCTCTTGAATAGTGTGGGGAACAATGGAGGAAGGGTCCCAAGAGGGGGCTATTACTTTAGAAAAAAGACTTTCTAGAGAAAACTATTTCCAGGCCCTATTTTCCTATGTGAAACAAAATGCGTACTTTTCAACTCCACCTGGGACATAAGAACAATGAACATAAAATCTTCCAAATTGTATAAATACATATTTATTCACAGTGTCACAACATCATCTATTGTTTCAAATTCTTTTAGAATTTCCTTCTATACATTTGTCCAAATTGAAGTCATCTGTTTTATATCATAGTCCAAAGCAAGAACTAATCTACTTAACAATTTTTCAATATCTATACAATGCCATATGTAATACATAGGAAGATATGGAACAAGTACTATTTGATTATATTTAAATCACGTTTTTCTTATAACATAAACTTTCTGTTTTTACTCCAACAACTCAAAGCATTAAGCAAAAAAGTTTCACACATCTTGAAGCACCTTCAGGGGGCAGAAGAGCAGTACAGTGAGAGGCACGCAACACCAGCTTTGGAAATAATCTCCGGGGTTTCAGGACCCAGCTTAATGACATACCAGATGTGCACCTTTGAGTAAATTACTTAACATCTCCAAATTTCAATTACCTCTGTGGGAACTCAAAAAATAGTATCAGTCCCCAAGGTTTTTGTGTAATTGAGCTCATGGCTGCAAAAGTACCTGGCACAGTACCTAACCATAAAAGGCATGAAATAAATGTTAGTTTTCTCTTCACCAAATCTTCTTCCCACTCATACCGCCATCCTGATCCCGAACATACACACACACATACATACACACACACACACACACACACACATACACACACACGCACGCATGCACCATCAGTGAGTACATTAATATCTTGCCTTAAATTACAAGCAGAACATAAAAGACAGCCAAGATCTCCTTATTCCATCCCACTAGCTGGCGGCCTCTTGGCTGTGGAATCCCTGGTTATTTCCTTTCTCAAGGAGGAGAGACTATTCTAGTTTGACAAATCCTTTCCTGGACACACTCTCAGAATTCCCTAAGGTTCTTATCGTGGCTAATGGATAACAATGCAGAAACTATGGGAGTGAATAATCACTCTCCCTCAGCTAAAAACTTCCTTTATTGACTTCTCTAACTTCCCGTTAATATCTTGCTGCCAAATCAACTTCTTGTTCTATGTGACTATTAAAAGTAATTATCTTAAACTGAAAAATGCATTTAGCCTTCGACAATAAATCACACTAAGCTCAGTTACTAGCTACTTAGCATAGTAGGCTACTCCAATATTTACAAAATTAAATTGTTTGCAATCCTATTTCTATCTTTAGCCTTTAAAATACAGGAGTACAGATGTTTTTAGTTATTTCTTCCAGAAGATAAAGTGGAGAACTGAAATATTGTTAGCATTTATTGATTTAGAATGAGAATGATAGCAGTAGCTATTCTTTATTGAAAGAGAAACTAAAAGCAATACAATTAAACAGCTTGTATTTGTGCCAGTTAAATGATACAAAGTTTTCATTTTCATTATGTGACAGGGCCTTATATCACTGTAGGCCAAGCACACAGCACAGTGCCTTGAATGTAGCTGTCAATAGATGTTTGCTGAATGAAGTGAATAAACGATCACTTGGTCGTACACTCAGAACCAACCTATAACCTTAATCCCTGAAAGATAAAACACACAACCCCTTGATATGTGAATCATATCCACAACTCCAGGATCTAAGACTCCCACTCCCAAAGAACAGTTAGAACAACTTCTTTTTGAGGCAATTCTGCTTACTTAGCACATTATTTCCCCTACAGCTTTCCTTCTTTTGTTTTTGTACTAAAGATATTTGTATAAAAACAGGATCTTTGTTGCTTAGTAATTCATCTGCTCCAGCTGCTTGTGTTCTGTTCCCAATCAAAATTCTTGGTTTTCAGCCTCCTCATCACTTTTATAAGGAGTTAAGTGAAATGGCTAGTTTGCTCCCTTCTCCCTCTCCATGGGACACCAGGCCCCCCACTTCCACACACTGCTCCTCTGCCTGCTTCTACCTTGGGGTGCTGTGTGTGCCCTACAGAACCTATACCGGAAGAGGATGATGAAACATTGTATCACAGTCTCTCCTACATGGTCCATCCCAGTACATCAAAAAGTGCTCAATGAGGTCTGGCAGGTGGCATGGTGGTTAAGATGCTGGCCAACCATGGTTTGAGTCCCAACCTGGAGGCTTGACAATCACACTAGGCAGGGGCCAGCAGATGGTTTGGCAGCTATGTCACTGGACTCCCATATGGCTGATCTCAGTTCAAATCCTGGACCTGGTGGCTTTAAAATCACACTGGGTATGTGTGCATGCATGTCCACTATCTCAGGAGGAAAATAGTGGAGAAGGGACGGTGGTGTGGCCATCCGTCTGTGGGGTGATTTCTCACTTTCCCTCTCACTGCTTCTGTTTCTCTCTCTTTGGCAAGCACACACATCCTAAGGTAAAAACCTTTTTTTTTTTTTTTTCAAAAAAGAAAAAGAAAAAAAATCATGCGAGGCACATGTACGTGCATGTCCAAAATCCCAGGACAAGAATGGGGGAGAAGGGACTGAAGCATAGCCATCTCCCCGGGGAGTGATTTCTCACTCTCTCTTACTGTCTTTCTCTGTGCATGTGCCCTAAGGCAAAAACCAAAAATAAATAAATAAAAGTACTCATTGACTCACAGAGAACTTGACTCCCTCCCCAGTTTCGAAATTCTCCAGCTTCAAGTTAGGGAAGGGTTACCCCAAAGTCAGAGAGGGCACATGAGAGAGGGATCTGAAGGCCAATAGCCTCAGGAAAAACCCAAAAGGGCAGGTGAATGCATTTACGTAGACAGGAAAATAACAAATGACGCCATGAGAGGCAAAAGCATATAGGAGAGTCGATCCTATACTATTATTGTCAATTGAGTTAAAGCATTTTATTAACCTTACATTCATATTTTCCAATGTCTAATTCTCACTGTGTGTGTGTGTGTTTTTCCATTCTAGATTTGCCTACGTTTTTCCCAGAGCTGCTTCTCTTATTTCTCACTGTTTCTCCAAAAGGGACAGTAAACAATTTCCTAGCCACTCATCATTATAAACCTTGGCATATTAAATTACCCCCTGCTCAGTTTATGGACCTCAGTGGGCCCATAAAACTCTTCCCTCACCAGCAATCCATCCCCCACAAAATTCTCACTTCCCTATTTCCCTGCTTAGGATACTTCCTAAGGGAGAAGTAGAGCTGCCACACCTACCAACTTCCCGCTGTGCTCAGGGTTTGCTCCCCTTCCCAGGACACGAGGGAGTTCCTTACCTGGAAGGCAGTTGCACTCAAAAGTGAAGTCACCAGTCTGCCGGCAGGTGCCTCCATTGACACACGGGGAGGGCGCGCAGGGCACATAGGGACTGTCACAGTGCTGGCCTGTGAAGCCCTGGGGGCACTGGCACTGGTAGGAACCAGGTAGGTTGAGGCAGGTGCCACCATGCTGGCAGCGTCCTGGAATGTCACACTCATTGACATCAGTCTCACACTTCTGTCCTGTGAAGCCTGCCAAGCATTTGCAGGAGAACTGATTTGCCACCGTGGTACAGGTACTTCCGTTTGCACAGGGATGAGACAGGCAGGCATCAGTCCATTGGCACAGTTTACCTAAAAGAAGGATAACAAAACTCAACACTGTCCACAGAAATCAGAGCCCCGTACTCAACACCCAAAAGGTGACATGCGGGAATTTCTGCAAAGAATCCCTCCACTCTCTGAATTTAACAGAAAGTCAAGGGACCAGAAGTTGGTGTAATGGCTATGTTGCTGGACTCCCATGTAGTCGACCACGGCTCAAGTCCTGGACTTGGTGGCTTAAACTCATGCCAGGTGTGTGTGCACGTGCGTGTCCAAGATCCTGAGAGGAGAATGGAGGAGAAGGGATTGCGGTGTGGCCATCTCCCTTGGGGGGTGATTTCTCACTTTCTATCTCTCTGTCTTTCTCTTTCTGGCTAGTGCATGCACCCTATAGCAAAAAAACTCTCAAAAAACCCCCAAAAAACAGAAAGTCAAGTCAGAGTCCTTGAGGGCACCTGACACGAGGCACTCTCCAGACATTCTCCAAAGATCTTGGCCAAGATAGACTCTAGATGGAGCACATGGGAGGGCCTACAGAGTAGTCACATGAAGCCTAGTCTTGCAGAATTCCAGCCGTCCCTGCAGCAGATCAGGGTCTGGATCCATCTGTTCTCTAACACCTTCTGACTGCATCACCAGCTCCTCCATGTGGAATACCAGCTGATTTTAATTTACCTAGTGAACTCTCACTTATCCTTACAACTCTGTTCAAAAGTTACCTTCTCTGTAAAGTCATCCTTGACTTGAGATTAACACATACATGCATAAACACACACGCACACACACGTTTACTATTTATTTCCTTTAATTATACCTATAGCCACAGTGGCAGGGTTGGGACCCCACAGTGTGCTCTCATGTCAGGTTTGGTAAATGAGTAAAATATACTAACGTTTTCCATGATATATAGTCATTCAATAGACCTTTTAGATGACAGAAACAAATTATGACTACTTATATTTCCTTTAAACCAACACAGGTACACCCATATCCTAGGAAACATTTCAGTATTGTGGTCTCACTATAAATATCACTTGATCTGTTTGAGGATAACAAAGGATTTCTGGCTCCAGAGATATCAAAAGACATGGAAGCTGTCCTAAGCAGAGAGGTCTAGAAAGGTAACACGTGTGGGCTCTGTCAGATAAGAGGCACCAGTGTAGCAGACCAACTACACACCACATTCTACGGCATGACTCTAAGGGAAGCAAAGCAGATTCGCTAAGGGTGAAAGAGAGAAAAACATAAACCCAAGATACTAGTAAATTTGATATTCATGTGACCTTTGTTTTCATTCTCCTAAGTCTTTTATTTTTTCAAGTAATGAGATGAGAACTCCCTAAATTTATTAATGCCCCAGTTGGTTATCTAGGAAAAGCTTCAAATCTTTGACCCCAGAGAAAAGCAAATGAGAGCCAGGGCAGCTTTTCTAAAAGGGGGAAAGAGGTGATACTTGAGCACACAGAAGTGCTCTCTGCCTAACAAGGACTCTCATCTCAAAGAGAAAGAAAGGGACTATCAAAATCTAGCCCCAGCACCATCATCTCAGGGCACAAACTAAAATACAGGAACTGCAATTTCTGTTCCTATTTTTCCTTCATTCCACTCAGACTCACTGACTTAGAGTAGAGAAGAGATTATAAATGCTTCCTGCTGGCAGCTGTGTATTTCAGAACATTTGCCTGCAAGTAAAACCGAAAGGTCCGTGAACTTGGTTTCTCGTACATATCATATGCAGTACTTAGGCCCTAACTTGCTGCCTTTGCCTCTGAGTGGAGCTGAGCTAATAAGGCATGCATGGTAAAGCACAGGCTAGCATAAAACCAAACGATGACCTTAGGATTCCTAAAATGATTGACAGAAGTAGCCAACGTATGAAGATAATCAGAATCCAGGGATACACCAAAAAGAAATCCTTTTAATGGCAAAGAAAGAAGTTTTAACTTGGGGATCATTTCAGAGTGACACTTTAATTATGAAGAAGGCATTACTACCATTTCCAGGAGTCAGGGCTGAAATGTTTTAAATGTGTATACCCTCCTCTCTGCCTTGGGGTAGCAAAACAACTAGAAACTGTCCATCAGAAAGAAAGGCTTCTCCTCACCAACAAATTACTCCAATGACTCACATCAACAATGCCACCATGGTTACGATGGACATGATGGATCATCATAACTAACTTCTCTTTCCACCAATACCTCTTTTTTTTTTTTTTTTTTTTTTGAGAGGTTTTTGCTATAGGGCGCGTGCGCTTGCCTGAAAGACAGAGACAGAGAAATAGAAAGCAAGAAATCACCCCCCTAAGGGGGATGGCCACGCCGCAATCCCTTCTCCTCTATTCTCCTCTTGGGATCTTGGGCACGCAGGCACACACGCCCGGCGCTGACTTTAAGCCGCCGGGTCCAGGATTTGAACCGCGGTCAACTACATGGGAGTGCAGCAACATAGCCATTACACTAACTGCTGGTCTCTCCACCAATACCTCTTAATGAAAAATAAGTAGAATGTGTATTCTAAACTAACTGATTTGGTCTGGTTTTCTGAGAATATTTTTCATTTTTCTGTATTAGATTTATAGAACCATTGGTTTAGTGCTTTAAGCAGAGGACAAATGGACGACGGTTCTTTTTTCATCTACTGGGTCATTGGAAAAGTCAAGATGCATTTCTGTTTTTCTATTCAAAAATGCATCATGACTTTTCTGACGACCCAGTAGTTTAATAATCATTTATAGTTCACTTAGAATAATGTTCAGACCCATCTCAGAAGAACCCATAATCTATTCAGATGAGAGACAAGTCAAAACTGAAATACAGGGGCCGGCAGGTGGTGTGGTGACTAAGAGTGCTGAACTCCCACATGGCTGACCATGGTTCAAGTCCCAGGCCTGGCAGCAGCTTGCTTTCTCTCTTTCTCTCTCTCTTTCTCTCTCTCACCCTGTCCCTCTCTCTCTCGTCAAATTAAAAAATAAATAAATATATAAAGTTAAATAAAATAATTATTTTTTAAATGAATTACAATAAAATGCAACACATAAAAATAGTAGACCTTAAAGACCAATTGCCTAAAGGAATCACCAAGGGGTCACTAAGAAAGAGTTTTAAATAAAATTGGGCAATTTCCAAGGGTAGAAACAGGCATTCCCGGCAGAGGAGTGTGTGACTGCGTGGCGGCAATAGCAAGCATGATGTTTTCAGGAAATGATGAGAATGTGACATGGCGCAGACGTCTGTGGGGAAATGACACTGCATGTGATGTAAGGCCTGGACCGTGAAGGGCCCTGGAGGCCAAGGAGCATAGCACACAGTTTATTCTGTCGATGATGAAAAGTCAGTAGGCATTAAAAGCAGATGAGTTTATTAGAAGATTTACATTTATACAGTGCATTCTGGATGGGGAAATTCCCTTTGTGCACTGCAATGATATACAGTGTATGAATGTAAAGTAAATGTTTAAAAAGAAAGAAAGAAGGTTTACATCTATAATTAAAGGGGTAGTAATATGATGGGTGACCGAGACAGGTGACAGTAAAAGCAGGAAAAGTATGAAAACTACTTCAGGAGTCTAGGTAAGAGACAATAGGTTCTCACTACAGAGTAGCAGAGAAAATGAGGAAGAGGAGACAGGGCGAGGTGATTCAGAGGTTGGGTTAGGTGACTGACTTGAAGTGGGGTAAGGACAAGAGAGAAAGGAGCTTCTAGTTTGAGTACACATTGGTATCACTTGTGTACAACATGTTGAGTTTAAGGTACCTGTGGAATTTCCAAGGGGAACATGCAACAGATAGTTAGAAGTCTGAGACTGACAATCAGGGCGGAGCTAAGGGGTGACTAAGACAGTCATTTCCAACTGATGAAGATAACGGCAGTTAAAGCAATTGAGACTTTAACTGACACTCCCTAGGGAGAGTTGTAAGACATAGTTCAAAAGAGGACTCAAAACTGTTTCAGGGAACACTGAGAGGAGCAAGGCAATGAAGACGTAAAAGGAACAATGGGAGTTCAGAAACCCAGCATCCTGAATAACTAGAAAGAGATTTCCAGACACAAGCAGTCAACAGCATCAACAGCTATTTTTCTGGTGACAGTACTTTTCCTGTAATGAAGGAATTCTGACTGGCCCCCCTGGTCTGATATACAGGATGAGTACCCCTGGCCCACAAGGTATGGGACCAGAAGTGTTCAAGATTTCAGATTTTTTTTTTCATATTTTGGAATATCTATATGTACATAGTAATGTATTTTGGGGCTGGAACCCAAGTCTAAACCCAAAATTCATTTTTGTTTTACATGTACCTTCTATATATAGCCTGAAAGTAAATCTAGCAGTACTTTTGTATTGTGGTGTTCTGACTGCAATCTGTCACATGAGGTTAGGTGTGAAATTTTCCATTTGTGACATCATGTTGGCACTCAAAAAGTTTCATACTTTAGAGCATTTAGATTTTGGATTTTTGGATTAGGAACCATCAACCAGACTAGACGTTAAGAGGTCAAATATTCTTAAAGCATTTGACCATTTTTCTTTCTTCTTCTTCACTCCTAAAAACTCTTGAAAGGAAGCTGGTCACAGCTGTACATGTCTGAATCCCAGTTACTTGGGAGGCTGAGGCAGAAGGACTGCATGTTCAAGGCCAGCCTTGGCAACGCAGTGAGACCTGTCTCTAAAAATTAGTTACAAAATATAAAGCCTCTCAAAAATCTCTCAACAGGGAGTTAAGGATAATTGTCTTTTCTTTTTTTAATTTTTGGAGAGGTTTTTGCTATAGGGCGCATGCGCTCACCAGGAAGACAGAGACAGAGAGATAGAAAGTGAGAAATCACCCCCAGGGGGATGGCCACGCCACAATCCCTTCTTCATTCTCCTCTCTGGATCTTGGGCATACATGCACACGCACCCGGCGTGAGTTTAAGCCACCGAGTCCGGGACTTGAAACATGGTCGACTACATGGGAGTCCAGTGACATTGCCATTATACTAAGTGCTGGTCCCAAGGATAATTGTCTTGAACATCAGTTCCTTATCAAAATGCCCCAGAGTTGGAGGAGTCTTAAAGGGCCACACACCAAGATCTCTGAGATACTAAACAAAGGTACTTGCTGAGAGAAGAGAAGGGCCGGAGCGCCATTTGTTACCTGTAAAACCAACTTGGCACGTGCACTCATAGGTGTCCCGGCTGAGCTTGTGGCAGGTGCCTCCATTCAGGCAGGGGCGAGACACAAAGCAGGGGTGAGAGGTAGAGTACTGGCAGTCCTCGCCTGTGAACCCTGGGGCACATCGGCATGTGGCTTTCCCCAACATGGCCTGGGCCACACAGGTCCCACCATTCTGGCAGCGGTTCTTCTCACACGGGTCTCGGTGTTGACAATATTCCCCCAAGAAGCCCTCTGGACATCTGCATGGAAAAGAGAAGACTTCATGAAAACACCTGACTTCTCACAAGTCCAAAAACTGACAGTAAGACAATGAAGTCTGCTGAAGAGAACACTGGAGTGTGAATGAAAAGACCTGAGAGTACGAAGAGCACAATCTGCAAAAATGCTTCACTTTAGGAGAAGATGCAGTGCTTAAAGAATGTACTTATAAACTCCCATGTCCTTTTGAGCCCTGAGAGGTGATAGAATACCAGGTAGATGACTTAGCAGGGTCTTCCCATGACCAGTCAGCTCGACCCTTAGTCAAAGGCAGAACACACGATAGCTTTTTTCATGTCGGTACATGCAGGTACAGGCCCAGGCTGGGATGGTCTAACAGCACCCTTTTGTAGAGCACTTGTTCATACTTGTCTGCTTACATTCATTAACTTTCTCATTCTGACTAAGCCATTTGATAGGATTAAGATGTTCACATGATAATGCAGACACTTGACCCTCTTATCCTCTCCAATTTAAAATATATATCATGTACTTTTTCTCAATTAAGCATTGAGAAATAGTAAGTTCTTCTTTATCTTGTTTCCACTGAAACCTCAATTAGCCTACACCTGGCTCTGTGGGTTATGTTTAGGCCTTCCAGAACTTTCTGAGAATAGCAACAAAGAAACGGGAAGGAGGTAAACAAATGGGGAACACTTTCAAGGGGTACTTCAAAATCTGTCAATATATAAGTAACAGGCAGCTTTCATAACCAAATACAAAGGCACAAAGTAAAATAAACCATCAAAGATACATAAGCACCAAAGTTTCACAAAAGTGAAACAACTCAAAAATAACATTTTTTAACATTTCCCACATTGGAGCATTGAGGAATCCTTTTATATGCCAGCCCTTGATTCCTAAGACACATACCCATTCCGGCCTATATGTAAAATCTATGGCAATTTTCTCTAAATACCATTGAAAAGGTATGGGACATCTCCACTTTCCCAATGAAGTAGTTGTTTAAACAAGACCTATAGGAAGCATTTAAAAGGAACATAGGGGCCAGCAGGTGGCATCATGTTTAGGGTACTGAACTCTCACATAGCCAACCACAGTTTGAGTCTCATACTCAGTGGCTTGAAGACCACACCAGGCCTGTGTTCATGCATGTCTAAAATCCCAAGAGAATGGAGGAGGGATTGCAGGTTGGCCATCCTCTCTGGGCAATTTCTTTCTCTCTCTCTCTCTCTCTCTCTCTCTGCCAGGTGCATATACCCTATCAAAAAACCCTAAAAAAAAAAAAAGGAAAAGCAACACAAAGACTTTTTGGTATGAACCATAAATCTTGCTATTTGGCTGGTATCCAATTACTGGGTCCTCAGAAAAGTCACAACACATTTTTGCAAACAGAACAACACGTCATGATTTTACAATGACTTAATATTTGGTTCCATCTATTTCTCCATTTTACCTTTTGAAGGAGAGAAAACTAAATCTGGAAATTACACTATTACCTTGAGGATAAAACATTTTAAGCCAAATTCTCAATCTCCCCTCTCAAAACCAGTTCCTATTACGTCCTCCTGTGTCCTAATTTTCCTAATCGCCCTGACCTGAAGCAATGGGTTATGTTTTGATTTTTCCTGTATTTGCCAATCATCCTTAAGACCTTTTATTAGCCTTTGGTGGGCAGGGTGAGGTCTTCAGGGGTCAGAGTTACTAGAAAAAGAAGGAAGGCCAGATATTAGGGAACTAAGACAGGACATGCCCAGAATTGCGCAGTAGCTAAAATGGCTGGCAGAGAAAACAGCTGGCAATAGCTGTGGTGGTAGTGACGCAATGGACCTCAGCCTCCGCACCCCTTCTCAGAGCTGAATAAGGCAAGGGTGGTAGAGCCAGACACAGCTACAGCTCTGATCTTCATGAGCAGGTGAAGCTGGAGACCAAGAGGCAATGAAGGGGTCCACCACACTGGAACTAAAGACTGGCTGAAGGTGACAAGGAGGAATCTGTACCTCAAACGGTCAGAAGGTCCTTTCTGGAGTTCTTGTGGTGTGGCCTTAGACAGTTACTTATTCTCACTACCCATCTAGTCTCTCAGGCTTTACATAGTTAATAAGGGTGTTGATATGGCAGGACTGCTGTGAGAATTAAACAAAATCAAATATACGTAAAAGCTTAGAGTACTAGAACCAGTAGGTGATGTTGTAGTTGGAGCACTGGACTACTACATGGCTGACAATGGTTCGAGTCCTGGACCTGGCAGCTTTCTCTTTCTCACATCAAGTTTAATAAAAATAATACTAATTAATATAATTAAATGAATAATTCTTTTTTAAAAATCTTATAGTACTAAACATTTTTCAAATTAAATTTTTTTCTCTTTTTTGTGCATATTGAGGAATATATGATCAAATCACAGCTTGATTTGAAAATGGAATAGCTTTTTTTTTTTAAGTAAAGAGCAAAATGTGTCAATGTAGCACAGCTAAAATTAACCCTAAACCACATTATTAGAAGCATTTGCAGCTTGTTCAAAAAATGTGTTACATATGAAAAACTGCAACAATTCTCATTCACAGTGACAATCCTCTGGGCATTAGCCTTGACTCTGGATTCTCTCATGTGGGAATTATTCATTTTGTAAATAACAGCACACTTTTAAACATGGGTGGGCTTTGTCCAACTTCGCTTTTGGATTAGTATACCTCCATCCCCCCACAAGACTATGGTGTGGCATCTTCTAAAACAATACAATTTCATTTAAATATTAGCATCAAAAACACATAGTGAAACATAAGGTTTCCAAGAAAACAAACTAAAACAGCATGAAAGTTTTTGGAGCCAGGACCAGCAGTTAGTGTAATGGCTATGTCGCTGGACTCCCATATAATCTACCGTGGTTCGAGTCCCAGACCTGGTGGCTTAAACTCACGCCAGGCGCGTGTGCGTGCATGCCCAAGATCCTGAGAGGAGAATGGATGAAAAGGGACTGCAGCATGGCCACCCCACTTGGGGGGTGATTTCTCACTTTCTGTCTCTCTGTCTCTGTCTTCCTGGCAAGCGCACACACCCTATAGCAAAAACCTCTCTAAAAAAATAAAAGGTTTTTGAGCCTAGCAGAAATATTTCTGAATTATTTGTTTCTAGGGTTTAATCCACATTGTTTCTCCCTTCTAAGTATGGGAAAATACTGGGTTGTCAGAGAAAAAAACAGGTCATGACTTTTCTGACAACCCACTAAGTTTTAACTAAGATATGTTTAAGAAACCAGGAGAGGTAGAGACTGGCAAATTATATCTTGGGGGTCTAATGTGGCTCACTGCCTGATTCCTAGGGCTTGTGAACTGAGTGATTTTTACATTTCACATGGTTGAAAATCAAAAGGAGGATAAATTGTGACACTTGAAAATTATATAAAACTCAAATTTCAGTTTCCAAAACTCAAATTTTAGTAATAACAAAAGGTGTTACTGAAACATGGCTATGCTCACCATTTATAGACTGTCCGTGGCTGCTTCTGCACTACAACAGAGCTGAGTAGTTGCAATGAGACCACATGACCTGCAAAAATATTTACTCTCTGGCACTTTACAGAAAATGTTTGCCAACCCCCAAACAGACTATAAGAAGCCTAATGCTATAAATAGCATCCAATATGCTGATTAATTATGATGTTAATGATGATGAAAAATGTGCTCCTGTTGGTTTCTACAAAGAATATTAAACTCATTCATTCTTGCAACATTTAGTAAGTGCCTGTTTTGTGCCAGACATTTATTCTAGTACTAGAAAAATTCTTTCACTTAAAGAGTTTAAATTGTAAACAGAGAAAACAAAAATAAAATTGATAAGTCAAAGATATCTGTTAAGCACTACAAAGAAAAATGAAACAGAACAGGATGGAGTTGGGGATATGGCATGAGGAGAAAAAAAGAGAGAAGTATTTCAATTTCAAAAAAGAAAATCAGAGAAGGCCTCCATGAGAAGCCAACATTGAGACCTGAATGAGGTGAGGAACTAGCCACGTAAGTTACTAAGAGAAAAGTGTTCAAGGGAGAGCAAACAGTACATGCAAAGGTCCTAAGACAGGTAGCTGTCTTGGTTTAGTTCAGAAATAACAAAGAGCCCTCGGGACCAGCAGTTAGTGTAATGGCTATGTCGCTAGACTTCCATGTAGTTGACCATGGTTCAAGTCCCAGACCCAGTGGCTTAAACTCACGCCGGGTGTGTGTGCACATGTGCTCAAGATCCCGAGAGGAAAATGGAGGAGAAGGGATTGAGGCGTGGCCATCCCCCCTGGGGGGGGGGTGATTTCTCGCTTTGTTTCTCTCTGTCTGTCTCTCTCTGTCTTTCTGGCGAGCACACACGCCCTATAGCAAAAAAAAAAAAAAAAATCTCCAAAAAAAAAAAAAAAGAGAAATAACAAAGAGCCCTGGAGACCTACCTCTGTGGTTGAACAGGAGTAAGAAAAAAAGAGTAAAGAGAAGACAGATGGAATCTATAACTGGGAGGCAGATCATTTAGGTCTCAATTAAAAAAGATAAAAAGATTTAGGGTTTTACTGTAAATGAGCTAACAGGTATGTCACAGGATAAAAATCCATGTACAGTGCCACATTTTTCTTTACATACAGCTAGACCTACTGTTGGTATAATAATGACTTGATGTCTTATTCAAAATATTCCGAGGGTTAGACGCCAGTTCATTTCTTTACTTTTACCTTAAAACATATGCAAGTCTCCTTTAATATAGATTTTTCATTAAGTCCCATTTCTCTTTCCAATTGTTTCTTCACAAATGAGCTTCTATGATTGTAGCCTTACTTCTTCTTCATCAATTAATATATTTCTTACTTGTCCCTTTGCAACAAGGCCTCCATTCTAATTATTGCCTAAAAACTATATTCTAAGAGCAATGATTTTATCCTTGTCAAGTTCAGTGGTTTTATCCGAGATTACATTATAAGGAAATTCTCTCTCCTATGGGAGGTATTGCTGACCAGTCCCGCGTGCCATTTTAACCTTCTTACCCT